CGTGACTCCCCCCTCTGATCGACAACCACACCCCGCAGCGTATGACACATGTATGTTTTGTCCCCATCATCCGGACCTCCTGTGTCACTCATTGAAACTCATCCCAACCTTCTAGAAGGAGCTCTGTACATGGGGACAAGTGTCCACATTCTGCTTGTGAATTAGTGCTGAGTCATCGTTCTTGATTATAGTCCTGATTATATTTGTTGATCACATCTAGACTCCTCCTCTCAATTCGTGGAAACACCACGCGGATCATTTAGAGGAAACCAGTACCTGTTTTACATGTTTTCTTCTCATGTTCAGTATCACTGCAGAACAAACCAGGAGATGTTTGAACCTCACATGCTTTCATTTGTCAGTGGTATTTTTTGTATTGTGCAAGTGCTGCTTTTCAAATTAAAAGAGTTGATACAAACAAACAATCCGTCTTTGCTTCCTGCAGCTTGTAAACCTTTTGTTGTGCAGGAAGTTGCTTCTATTTAGACCCTAAGTGGGCGGAGCTTCACACGTCGACCTCGGTCGACTGTAAATTCTCAGAGATGATGTCATCAATGTGGATTCACTGCATAGAGCGGAGCCGTTAGAAGAAAGTTCAATAAAACATTTTCGAACCATTATGAGTCGCTCATGTTGCACTTGTTTTGCGTTTTGGTTTCCTGAAGAAGTTTGTCAGGAAATCTTTTTTCTTCCCCAAAGATGAGCCAGCGAATACAAAGTCAAACTACATCATCAATTTACAACAGTTTTCCGAGCCGTCCTTCAGGGAACCAGTCCGACATCTTCTTTTTTAATGTGTTCAAAATAACGTCACAAGAGAAGAATAAAGTCTTGTGTTCATTGTTATCAATAAGAAGAATCCTCCATCTTTACATTGCGTAACTCCTTCAGAGCACAACAGCATTTCTTGGTCTCACAGCTAAACTGGTCCGAGCGGATAACCAGTTCCCGGCTGCTGCTCTCTGTGGTTGATGTTGGGTGTAGCTGATGGAGCGCTTCAGCTGTGTGAGGCCTTTGCCCCTCCAGTACTTTATGTGAGATCAATACACACACTGTATTTCAACCATTTGACAGAAGTGGAGGTGTGGTGGGAAATGTTCCGTAGCCGGTGACACGAGTGATGGGTGGAAACAGGTGGGATGAGGGGCGTGTCCTCGCTCAGGTGTGCATGTGTTGGAGGAGGAGGAGGAAAAGAAGCTTATTTATACAGCTGCACTCCAGGTGAGCAGCACCTTTACGTCATGCCTCTCTACAACGTGATCGCTGTGGCGACCCTGCTGACCGCGCTGACCCCAGGTAGGAAGCCTCGCCGCACACACATGACCAATCACGTCACAGCTAAGACATTAAATACAAAAGAATGAAGCAACTCTCAGAATATGACGATTAATTCGGGACTGAAGTGGGAAGCCATTGTTCTTCTTCCCTTTTTGAAACCGTTGGTTTATTCGAGTTTCACTTGTTTTATTACGAATAGTTTCTTTATGATTTGATTTGTTGCACGCAGTAGTACATCGTAGTAACTGTAGTAATAATACAGGCAGCAGTACTAGTAGTACACCGTAGTGACTGTAGTAATAATACAGGCAGCAGTACTAGTAGTACACCGTAGTAACAATACAGGCAGCAGTACTAGTAGTACACTGTAGTAACAATACAGGCAGCAGTACTAGTAGTACACTGTAGTAACTGTAGTAATAATACCGGCAGCAGTACTAGTAGTACACCGTAGTAACAATACAGGCAGCAGTACTAGTAGTACACTGTAGTAACAATACAGGCAGCAGTACTAGTAGTACACTGTAGTAACTGTAGTAATAATACCGGCAGCAGTACTAGTAGTACACCGTAGTAACTGTAGTAATAATACCGGCAGCAGTACTAGTAGTACACCGTAGTAATAATACCGGGCCGAGAGAGAGAGAGAGATTTTTTTTTGATTTTTAGAAAATCTTTATTTTACATAAAAAACAATTAGTCATTACAGTCATTAGTCACTATGGCAGTGGCCCGTCTTCCCGCTCAGGATCCTCCTCCGCCGGTCGGACGCTTCACTCAGCCACATTTCCTCCTTCCCTGGTGATCTTGAGGTTGATCTTCCGTAGTCGGAGGACCTCCTGCTGGGTGTAGTCTGCCCCACCCGTTTCGTGCAGCTGTGTCGAACGGAGCGAGCGAACTTCTCCAAGTCGGAGAAGTAGTCCTCCAGCTCCACTCCTCTCTGGTTCTTGGTGGTCTGCAGGAACGCTTTCATCCGCCCCACCCCGTGCCTGCTGGTGACCGTCCCCCCTGAGGAGACGCTGTCTTCAGAGGCCCACCCTGAAGAGGACCCTGACTCCACACCTCCCACCTTTCCTCTGCGCCCCCCTCTTTTTGCCCGAGAGCCTCCCCTGTTGGCCCTCGTCTTCCTCTTCAGGCGGGGGGCCGTAAAGTCCACCCCCCCTCTTCCATATATTCCTCGCTGTCCGAGGTTCCACCTCGAAACGCTCCCCCCCTACCGAGTGCCCCCATCCCCTCTTTCACCCTGTCACACACACCTGCCCGCTGGGCTGCATTCAACCCCCCATCCACTCCGACATTCATCCCCTCTGACCCCTCACCCACCTGACCGACCGGCTGGCCCTCACCCAATCCCACACTCACCCCCTCATCCACCTGATCGACCGGCTGGCCCTCACCCAATCCCACAGTCACCCCCTCACCCACCTGACCGACCGGCTGGCCCTCACCCAATCCCACAGTCTCCCCCTCACCCACCTGACCGACCGGCTGGCTCTC